TCGACGAGTCGGGCTACTGACTCGTCGAGTTCCTCTTAAGGAAGGAAAAAACATACCATATTTAAATTACATACCAGAAATGGGCGTTACACTTTTCTACACCCTAACTCTTTCATGGGGACAAATCAAGGTCCAAGCTTGCATTTTTATGACTTAAGATGCCTTAAAACGTCTGAAAGGACACCTTAAAGGCTGTGGAGTACCTTTTACTCTCCAAGATCTTGGGTTTGGAACAAAAAGGATGAAAATCAAGGCTTTACTAAGATCTAAAGAAACATAAGCCAAGTTTGGAGCTTTATACCTCCAAATAGTGCACAATGAAGAGAAGATGTTGGATCCAAAGTCTTGAGAGTAAAGCTACTCCTTGAAGGTCCTTCTTCACAAACAAGGAAGCACACAACTCACTCCAAAAGCTCAAAATGCTCAAAATAAACTAGGGTTTGCAAGGAGGGTCGATCTTGGGATGAAGGCTGATAAAGGGAAAAGTCTTGGGGCTATAATGGTACTTAAATAGTGCACAAACCCTAAATATTAGGGTTTTGGTCTGAACCACATACGCCCGGTGTACAGGAGTAGGCAGCGTACTCAAGCTGCACCAAAAGGTCACAGAATTGCCCTTGGGGACCCAATTTGCAAACATTTCATAACTCAAGGGTCTAAAATCAAATACCTAAAAAAATAGATGTTACAGAAACGTAGACAAACTTGATTTTAAACCGATACATACATAAAAAAGCACGTAAGTTTTTTTAAAAAAAAATTAACGAATAAAAGTTCTAAATTTACGTTGAAATGTTAACCGCCTTGAAGTTATTGAATTTATACCGACACAAATGTGTACTTAAAAAAATATTTTTTTTAGGTTAACGAATGAAGGTTATTACAGAAAATCATATTACATATATTACGAGGATAAATACCAAAATTCAAAAAAAAATGGAGAGATGAAAGTAACATTTTATAAAGTTCAAAGTGACGAGGGTCAAAATGACATTTTAAAAAGTAAAATGGTGGAAAAGTCACAAAATTTATAAACATGAAATATAGATAAAATTACATAAATAATCCCTATGGTTTACCTATGGTCACAAACTCAGTCCCTGCTAAACCTGAAAAAACCAAGTTACTCTCACAGTAATGGAGGAAAAGTAACGATGTGAGCAAAAAGAAACATTTATGCAAGTTTCGGAAACCACAAGGACCATGTTCGTCAATTTTTTTTGCAATGACTGAGTTTGTGATATTTGGTAAGTCACATGGATCATTTATGCATTTTGTCTAGTTTTTATAAGTGAAGAATGGTGAACCGAAGCGAAGACATAGGGCTCATGTCCGTTTTTTTTCTCGTCGATGTGGACCAAGTTTTACACATCTCTAATTAAGTTGCAAAAAGTTATGTGTGAAATGGAAAAACTAAAAAGATATTATTATTTTACATAAACTAACGAACATGCATTGGTTATGGATGAGAACTAATGTCGTATGTTATTATTTTACATATAAGCGAAATGCAGAATTGGTTTAATTAAAATATATTTACCTCAAAAGAAATTTAAGTTGCGAAGAAATGGCCAAGATCAAGAAAAAGTTGCAAAGTGACATAGGTGAACCACATTACATGAGAAAGAACACAACAAGAACCAATGCACAATTCATGAGCAACAAAAGGCAACCTAAACTCAACCAATTATAACTTCACAACAAGTGCATGTAGTAATTCTTACAACATAAATCCATTCATATACAAACTACAAACCCATATCACAACTTTCATTCCGACCGTTTCCATTCGGTCGGGCTTTTCTTTACTTATGGAGAAGAAAAAGAGATTGGACGAGGTAGATGGCCGGTTGCAACAACATTTGGTTCTTCTTCTTGCTATTGTTTTAGGGTTTTTGATAATGGATCCTTTCGACATGAGTCCAGTTGGTGGACATGATTTCCGACCTGTGAAAAACGATATTGCACCATATGACCAAGTGATGGAGAGTTGGCCAGCAGACAATCTTAGCCGGCTAGGGCTTGGGAACTTGGAGCATGTGGATAAAGTGTTTGGACCCGAGTCCTTGGAATTTGATCCATTGGGAAATGGACCCTATACTGGTATGGCTGATGGTCGGATTGTGAAGTGGGCAGGCGAAGGTCGAGGATGGGTAACATTCGCTCTTGTTTCGCGAGACTGGTAAGTTTTCAAATATTTTATTTGCATATTAGATACATACATACATACACATACATACATGCATACATGCATATAATATATATACATATATCATGCTTAATTCGAAACGTCAAAAGGTCAGAAAAGTTATGCATGACCGGAAAAGACTCAACAACATACAAGCAATGGAAAATGGAGGCATTATGTGGACGACCACTAGGATTGAGGTTTGATAAAAGTAGCGGAAATTTATACATTGCTGATGCGTACTATGGGCTTATGGTGGTTGGTCCAGACGGTGGCCTAGCAACACCACTATCCACCCATATGGGTGGAGAGCCGATACTCTTTGCAAATGACCTTGATATACATAGTAATGGATCTATCTTCTTCACAGACACCAGCCAGAAGTACAATAGAGTGTGAGTTCCATAACCCTTTTTATACATTGGTCTCCTTTACAGCCTTTTGGTTTATTATTTGATCTAAATGCTTGATATACGTTTGGTCCATGTGGAATACATAAAAAATGTGAGATGTTATTAATATATTCACATTTTTTTTATCTTATGATAACTTGGATTTGTTTAGGAACCATTTCTTTATAATGTTGGAAGGGGAGGCAAGTGGAAGACTACTTAGATATGACCCTCCAACAAAATCAACTCATGTTGTATTAGATGGCTTGGCTTTCCCGAATGGGGTTCAATTATCGAAGGACGAATCTTTTCTTTTGTTCACCGAGACTACAAACTGCAGGTACTGATTTTAGATGAATCTTATCAATTCTTCAAATTAATACCTTATATAATTATATTAAGAATTGTTTAAGTATATGCGATGACAAGTATACTTTGATTTTTATTTTTTGTAGGCTTATGAAACTATGGTTAAAGGGTGAAAAGAAAGGCAAAGTCGAACTTGTGGCAAATTTACCTGGTTTCCCGGACAATATAAGAATAAACGAACAAGGCCAGTTTTGGGTAGCTATTGATTGTTGTAGGACAAAAGCTCAAGAAATCTTGACAAATAATCCTTGGATGAGGAGTGTGTACTTTCGTTTGCCATTTCAAATGCGTTATTTGGCTCGAATAATGGGAATGAAAATGTACTCAGTGATATCTCTTTTTGATGAACAAGGGAAGATCTTAGATGTTCTTGAAGACAAGGAAGGTGTAGTGATGAAACTGGTTAGTGAAGTTAGGGAAGCTAATGGGATGTTGTGGATTGGCACTGTTGCTCATAATCATATCGCAACTCTACCTTACCCTTGATGAGGGTTCATATAACTTGTTGATTGTAATAAGCCATTCAGATGTGTTTGTTAATTTGTTTCTGTCTTTATTTTTTTTCTAAATATTATGCATTTATAAGTTGAATAACTTAGAGATTGCAATTGAATGCAGAAAACTGGGAAAATAAGAAAAAAAAAAGTTTGAATGGAAATAAGAAAATACCAAAGAACCATCAATGATAATATTGCCAATCTATGAACACCAAAAAGAAAAAAAAGGGTGTTCAAGTCGACAAGTTTGAGGTTATTCTATCTATTTGGTTATATTTGATTTATTATAGTGTAGATGTACATAGGATCATGTTGGGATCCAACAAAAACAAATTAAAGTGACAAATGATAAACAAATTATGTAAAACACGTGGAATAAACTTCTGAAAAACTGTAGAACTGAACATAGTATTTAACGTGGTTCGGTTGATTTAACCTACATCCATGAACGAATGAGAGAGAGAAGATTTTATTAATCTTCCAAAAACAATTAAAATCAGTCACAAAAGGTTGCAGCTCACTTGAACTCTTAAACAAAAGGAATCCATCTTGCTAACAAACTGCTCCAAAAAATATGTTCTCAAACTCACAATGATTGCACTCTTGAAATTTGTGCGTGCTTCACACACACACTACGCGCCATATGCTTCACAAATGTTGATGAAGATAAGAGTGCCTATTTATAGGCAAACATATGATTTTGATGGGTTATGTCTATTCTTAATTAATTAAGCCCTAAATCGGATCAACCAATCATAAGCCGCCATACAATTACTTCTAGATTCTTCAACCTTAATTTGAAGGATGTATATGGCCACTTGCCATGCATCTAGGAGCATGTTCTCAAGACCTAACAACACCTTTTTAGCTCCAACAATGCATTCTCCGGTTGCTGGAGCGCATTTAACAGCTAGGCAACGCCTTTACAAGTGCCCAACACTTCTATCAAATGCCCAATGCATTTACCAAGTGCCAAACACATTCTGGTACCCGGCAACGCAACGTGATTTCTGATGTCTGGTAATGCTTTCTTATTCGCTCATCAATGGAGCATTCTCTCCCCGACCATTCTGAATATTTGAACAACTACGTTTTTTCTTTCTGTGCCATTCAACTCTCTCTCTCTCTCTCTGTGTGTGTGTGTGTGTGTGTGTGTGTGTGTGGGGGGGGGGGGGGGCAAACTATAACTTTTTTGTGATGAACACCTTGGTATATTTATCTATTGAATTTTTCGTACTAAGGACTTTCTTCAGCTTAAGAACACCATCATAAACTTTTTGGACAACCGCATCTCAAGGTCGTTGAATATGTCGGAACCAACAATCAGTATGAAGATATCATGGTACTTTATATTACAAAACGTTCGCGATTGCGATATGACTATTTTGTTATATATTCCCTTTAAATATGATTTCCTCATGACAAATGAAACGTGTAAGATATTTAAAAAGTTTTGTTTGATTTACGTGCTGATCCAATCCGATCAGCAAATGAAAAATATCATTTTTTTTTCTTCTTTGAACACTTTTTCCGGCTCAAGTAACATTGACATACGGATATTCAAAGAAAAAAGGAAGACTATTTCGTTCTTTCAGACTATAAAACCGCAATTTCTTCCCTCTAAAACCCCCTCGGAGAAGAAAATCTCTCATCTTGGAACACTTCTTCCGCTACATAATGTTCAGAAAGATCATTTCTTCCCCCTCCAAGTCAAAGTCAAGAAAATTCGTATCCGTATCACTTCATTCCACCAACTATTGCTACTACGATCCCTCAACACCACCTTCTTCACCATCAAAACACATTTCCCCCAGACAAAAATGGTTTCAGATCACCCCAACTTCGTTCAAGGGTTTCAATCGATCTTTTTCATCTGGGTATCAGTTAAATTCGACCCAATTTAGAGTGTCTAATTTAAATAGAAATGGGGTTTCGATATTGAGAAGGGGATTCAGTAGCGAAACAGTTCGTGATTGTATTAATTATGACGTGGTTATCATCGGAGGAGGTCCGGCCGGCTTATCCGCGTCCATAAGATTGAAGCAATTATGCTGTGAAAATGATGTAGACTTATCTGTGTGCGTTGTGGAGAAAGGGGCAGAAGTAGGTATGCTTGGTTTAACTTTTCCCTCTTTTAAATCACAGAGTTTACTTTTGAAATGCTCAATTGTTATGCGAATTGTCAAATTTCTGATCATCATCTTTGAACAAAGATCATTAAATCGATAATTGCTTCTTCAAATCATAATCACAATCATAATTGTTTACAGGTGCACATATATTATCGGGAAATGTTTTTGAACCCCGTGCATTGAACGAACTCATCCCACAATGGAGAGAAGAAGAGGTAACATTTTAATTTCTCAATTGCTTCTTCTATAACTACAAGAATTACAAGATTTCATATGTGCTTTGTGTTAATTTCAACAAATAACTTTTATGTGGACATTTTTGTATATATTCAAACGCTTATACAGGCACCAATTAGTGTCAGTGTTTCTTCTGATAAGTTCATGCTACTTACAGAAAAGCATGCAATCCCATTGCCAAATCCTTTCGATAATAAAGGAAACTATGTTATAAGGTGATTAAATACTTTCTTTTTTCACTAATTACCATTTTGACCTTGCTTAAATCTTACTAAACTGATATTTTTTGATTCAGTTTAAGCCAATTTGTACGTTGGTTAGGACAGAAAGCTGAAGAATTAGGAGTTGAAGTATACCCAGGTTTTGCAGCTAAAGAGGTAACTGTGTGTGTGTGTGTGTTTGTGTGTGTGTGTTCCACTGTGTGTGGAATGACAAGCTTCATATTCATACAGATTTTATTTGATGAAAATGAAAATGTTATTGGAATTGCAACTAATGACATGGGAATTGGGAAAGATGGCTCTAAAAAAGATAATTTTCAGCCTGGTGTAGAATTAAAAGGTAGCATTTTTTTATGAATATGAGTAAATGACCATTTTACCCTTCTAACACTCTTTATTTTCAGGGCGTATAAATCTTTTTGCTGAAGGATGTCGAGGTGCACTATCAGAGGTTTAAATTAAAAAAATATTGATCCTCACTTTCTACATTTTAAAAAACCAACTTTTTTTATTTTTTCTAACATAAATTTTTTTAACAGAAACTAATAAAGAAATACAATCTAAGAGAGAAAGGACATGGACAACATCAAACTTATGCATTAGGAATTAAAGAGGTAAGCTGTGATTCTAATCATAATTACCAATTTTATTCAGTTTAATTTATTTTAAAAGATTAATTATGTTGATTAGTTTTTGAAAAATGTTAACAGGTTTGGGAAATTGATGCCAAAAAGCATAAACCTGGTGCTGTTGTTCATACTTTAGGTTGGCCTTTGGATCACAAAACCTATGGAGGATCTTTTTTATATCATATGCAAGATAATCAAGTAAATGATTATAATAATAATAAAATCTCTTTCCACCATTTGGTATTATGATGAAATTGACAAAAGGACTGGAATTGTTAATTCCATTCCTTTCATCTGTATGCAGGTTTCCATTGGATTAGTTTGTGCTTTGAATTACCACAACCCGTATTTCAGTCCTTATGATGAATTCCAGGTAACTTTAAAAATTGAAAATCACAACTTATTCTTATACTTTTATTTATTATTATTATTTTTTTTTTGTAAATTTTTTTTTCTTATAGAAACTTAAAGGTCATCCTGCAATCAGACCTCTTCTTGAAAATGGGACAGTTGTCCAATATGGGGCCCGGACTTTGAATGAAGGTGGTTTTCAGGTGGATATCATGATTTTACTTTAAAATTTATATTGTTTATTTTTTGTTATATTGTTAATTATTATATGATAAAGTGAATAAAAAATATAATTGATAATTCTAGTTAATTTTCAGTCTATTCCATATCCAGTGTTCCCTGGGGGAGCAGTTGTTGGATGTGCAGCTGGCTTCTTAAATGTTCCAAAAATAAAGGGTACACACACTGCCATGAAATCAGGTAAAAAAATTTCTCAATGTAAGGGTAAAATGGTCATTTTACACATACAAGACTTAATGGGGAATTAAAGAAATCAGGGAACTTAGGCTTTCCGCTTTCCTTATTAAGTCCTAACTTTTGACAAATTTGCCCTTGTTTGTCTTTTCCTTAAGTTTTTCCACGTATGCAGTCTTTTTCTGAAATATTTTTTAAATATTTATTTATCAATTTATTCTATTATTATAGGAATGTTAGCAGCAGAATCTGCGTTTGAAGTACTTAATAAGGGATCAAATATGAAAAATTATTGGGAAAGTTTAAAAAAATCATGGATATGGGAAGAGCTTTATCAAGCACGCAACTATCGCCCAGTAAAATAAAACATTTATTTTATTATTTTCTTTTTCTTTTATTTCTTGAATTTACTCTTTTTGTTTTTTTTTTTTTGTCATTTTCTTTCTAGTGACTAATGGGCTTTATGTTTGCAGGCTTTTGAATATGGGCTTTTTCCTGGTTTAGCTATAAGTGGTCTAGAACAGTAAGATTTCATATTTCCTTCCTTTTTAAAAGAAAAATTAAAAAAAAAATTCTATACACATTAAACATGTGAATATAAATTCACATTTACAGCTATTTACTTAAAGGAAGAGTCCCATTTACCTTGAAGCATGGAAAACCAGATCATGAAGCAACACATGTAAGCTAAAGTGTTGTTTGGATAAATGATTTTTATAAATATTTGAAAAAATAATTGTTCAAAAATAATATTTATAAATAAATGGTTATGTATACAGGAAGCAAGTGTAAGCTCCCCGATTGAATACCCAAAGCCAGATGGGATTGTTAGTTTTGATGTGCCAACTTCTCTTTACAGGTATTTCAATTAAATATTAATCTTAAAAAAAAATTACATAAAATTTATATTATTACGATTCTTTGTATAAATTTGTTTTGTTTAATAGGAGCAATACAAATCATGATCATGATCAACCAGCTCACCTTCGGTTGAGGGACCCACAAATTCCTCAACTTGTAAATTTGCCAAAATATGGAGCTCCAGAATCCCGATATTGTCCTGCACGTGTATATGAGTAAGAAATAAAAACTTTCTACTCATTTTTTTAATTAATAATCTCACTTTCCATTTTTCTTTTTAATCTTTTTTGTATAAATTCAGGTATGTTGCGGATGACAAGGGTGAATTGAAGCTCCAGATTAATGCTCAGAATTGCTTGCACTGCAAGGTTTGACAAATTCTTATTTTTTTTTTTAAATAACTAATTTTTTTTTTTGGGAAAATTGGTATATGATTATTGATTTTCTTTTTTTTGAGTTTCAGGCGTGTGATATTAAAGATCCGAAGCAGAACATTGAATGGACAGTTCCAGAAGGTGGAGGTGGGCCCGGCTACTCAGTAATGTAAACCGGTTCTTGAAGATTTATGTGGAAAATCAAGAAACGAGAACAAATGGGATCTTATCCTTTGTCATTGTCACGTGTTAATCGAATGTTTCTAGATTCGATATTTTGTACTTTGATAAACTTTATAGATTCAAGTTCGTGTTTGTATGAAATTAGGGCACAAATCTATGACTTTTGTTGTACTTTTTTATACAAAATCATGAGTTTGAAATAATAAGTTACACATACATATATAATCATATACGCAAAATTGCCCAATTTTCATCTAAAATTTGAATATGTAGTTATGTACTACTACTTGATAGGCTCTATGTTGACAAGGAGCTGCTATTTTTCAAATCACTATTTTCCGGCAACCGCTGTCCTGGCGGCTGTGGCGGAGATGGGTGGTGCTGAAACTGGTGGAGGTGTTGCCGCTGCTGAAATTGGTGGAACTGTTGCTGTTGAAACTGATGTTGCATTCGTGACTGAATTTGAAGTTGATGAATCTGTTGTGCAGTTAAGAGTGTGTGCATGGGGTGGTGGAACTGGTGGTTTGGTCTGAAAGATGGCGGGAAGTTCATCATTGGACCACCATTAATGACATTTTGTCCTGTAACTACTCTCAAATGATGTATCTCCTTCTTCAATGCATCATTTAAAACTAAACACAACAAGAATTAGCATAAAGCAGTTAAAGATTGGACCAGAATTTTGATTTTGAGTAAAGTATAGGGACCAAATTTGTAATTTTTTCTTTTATCATTTTTTTTTTCTTCAAAACTTACCATCTTGTACGTGAACCTGTTGCTCCATGGCTTGTAACCGCAATTTTAGTTCGGTGTTTTCCGCCACTAAACCATGTGTCTCTCTCTGACAAGAGTACAACCAAAATTAATACTGAGTTTGACATGTATTGAACTGAGATTCAGTCTCGATGTAATGTTAAAGGACAAAAACTATAACTTTTTGTTTAATCCAAAAAGATGGAATAATGTGGGATAGATATCGGATCTATGGACTATGAAAAAGACGTAAATGCCCTCCACAAACCTGCAAAATGGTTAATTGGGTAGATAATGAGGTTGCTTGCGTTTGGAGTGTTTGGACTTGACTTTCGAGCTCAGTTATGTATCTCATCTTTCTTTCCTTTGATCGTACAGCCGACTGCCTATTTGCCCATATTCTAATAAAAGGGAAAAAGAAAACCAAGTTATAAGGGTAGTTTTGTCTTTTCACTTTTTTTTTAGTTAGCATAAGTAAAGGGTGCATTTTGCACCTTTTTGCACGTTTTGGATCAGCAAGAGCAAGTTCAGCAAGCTTAGCAGCAGACATTGTTTTCTTAGCATCGGTTGAAGATGTCTCTTCTGGACCTGAGGAAAGACCATCCATGGAGATACTATGTGTGTGTTTAAATCTACAGCTGTCGCCGGAGCTAGAGACATGGTTTTCCGGCGGTGGTGCTATTGATGAGTTTGGGATTTGGGCGGCGTTAGATGAGTCGGGGAGGTGAGAACCAGATGTTGCCGATGAAGAATTAAACTTATCTGTGTCAAGGTACATAGAATATGAATCTTCTTCATTCTCGGAGTATGAAGGACCATCGAAGCTACCCACAACACCCAGATCGCTACCGAAGGTGATATCATCGAGTAGAGTAACAATTTCAGAACGCACTCGCCGGTGGCCAATGTTCTTGGGTGGGGAATCAGGCATTCTGCTTATATCATGACTGAAATCACCAAATTCAATGGCGATTACAGGCCCATTTGTGATGAACATTGTTGATCCTGACTGCTCTGTTTTCAATTTTTCTTTATTTCCGTCGGCTACCGGAAAACATGGAGTTCTACCGGAAGGTGGCAAGAGATTCCCGCTAAGGTTTTGAGATTCGTCTTTCTTCATTTATAACAATCTCTAAACCACAACAAGGATGGAATCCCCAAATCCAGCTTTTACTTGTCTAGCAAAACGAAAGAGAACATATTAAAGCATTTCAAAATTCAAATTACATCAAAATTATGCCATTGAATCAGAAACCTGAAATGGTTACGAAATTCAGAATTATATCTTTAGAAGAATGCACATTGATGTTAATCAAATACCCAAACACAAACGAACGAAAACCCATATAACGTGAAGGACGAATAAAGGGGTGAAATTCTTACTTTTAGGGATGGCATCGATTTCTCTGACAAGGGGATTTTAGATAGAAAATACGAGAGATGATCGGAATCGGAAACTGCACATTCTTAACCTGAATGCAGAGAGTTACGTCGGAGGGACGATATCGGAGATGCGTATCAATGAAACTCCTTCCGAAAATCTATATATACACCGTATCATCAATGAACAAAAATCTGAACATGTCATGACTCATGATCATGTTCAAAAAAATCATTAGTAGTAGAATTAATAAGATGGGCAATATGCTATATAAACTTTCGATCTTTTTTTTCTTTCAAATATGTCTCATCTAATTAAAAAAGGGAAAATGTAACCCAACCAACTACGGGTGGAATTGGTACGGTACCGAGATTATTTTCTCCAAACCGTGTACCGTATCAACCATGGTTGTTAAAATCGCAATCCTGATTGTAGGATCGTACGATCCTATGATCCTATGTATGAAAAACGATCCGGATCATAAAATGATCGTATTTGGGGTAGGATCGCAGGTAGGATCGTAAGATCGTAGGATCGAGATCCGATCCGATCCTACCTTTTCTTGATTTTTTTTTTTTTGCAAATGAAATTTTTTTATCAGTTTATGTCTTTTACCCTTACCAATCTACCATTTATCATTTTTTATTGTGACTTATGACTAATATTTTGAAGTTTTTTATAACTTTTTGAACAAAAAATTAAATGTTTGAAATATTCTTCATGATTAAATATTATAAATTAAAATTATATTTTATTTTGTGGGATCTTAGGATCTCGATCCCGATCTTGCAAACCCAAAAACGATCCTAGGTAGGATCCCAATCTTGACAACCTTGGTACCAACTATAGTTGGTATAAGATTTTAGCTACCAGTACCGTACCAAGTGTACTTGGTACCAATTAATTTGGCTACCAACAAATTTGGTTGGTATATATTGGTATTTGGTATATACCAAAATTTTTAACTAATATGTACTATACATGAATATAAGTTGAATTTGTGGACATTTGGCCGTTGCTTCACTCGCTTCTGGTAGTATTCTTTTTATTTGGAAACCACTAAAATGATTAAAAGAGGTCCACCCCTAGCAAGTTGGTATAGAAAACAAATGGTAATAGTACAAGTACAAGGAATGAGAAGTTAGTATTTCTTTTTAAGTTTTAGTATATGTATCACCGATCTCGTGCACATCAAACAATAAGTATCAAGAAATTTGTCGGTCAATGTGTTAGTTTAGTAATTCTAAGACTTGTTAGTTGTTATTCTAATTAAAACATGAAGATATGAGAACTCATATTTCTTTGTATTTATGAATTGATATATATATATATATATAGATATATATATATATATATATATATATATATATATATCTATATATATATATATATATATATATATATATATATATATATATATATTGGTTGGTACGGTGCAACCTTGGTATTCAAAATTTCATACCGTTACCGTACCAAGACTACTTAATTGGCATGGTATTACCAGCCAAACATATTGGCTACCAAACAACTTGGCTACCGATTTAATTGGTTCGGTTGGTAACATGTTGGTTGGTTCTCTGTGGTATATATTTGTCAGCCCTACAACCAACTATCCGGTTTTGTTTTAAAAGGTCCTTAATTTTTATTTTATTTTATTTTATTTTATTTTATTTATTTATTTATTTATTTTTGTAGTTTAGAAGCATAAAGTCACTTTTTACCTACTAAAAAGAGACATTGACTTGTAATTTCCAGTTTCCTTCGTGTTTTGTTTTTTTTTCACTAAAAAAAATTAAATTAAAATACATCTCATTCTGTCACTCGCGTCCTCACCCATCACAAACTTATGTTCATCTTCAAGAACACCCACCTTCTTTATTCTAAATCATAGACCTTCACATAAATTGTTCGTCTCTCCAATACTTAACCTTATTCCGATCAGGTTTCACTCTCTGCTCGGTATCTTTGGTTAGAATCTCTTCTTCATTTCGATTTACATGGATATACAAGTCAGTGAAGCATCACAATAGCCCAACAAGGATGTTTATTCGGTTTCTTCTTCATTTCGATTTCCTTGGTTTGAATCTCTTCTTCATTTCGAGTTCCATGGTTCTACAAGTTGGAGGGCCTGAGTTTGAGCTACATGTGATTTGTAACATACACGTTCAGTTATTGTAACATCCCAAAAAATGCAGTCCAAAAATTTCGTTTTTAAAACCATTAATAAAACCATAAATATCTTCATCATATAAAGTCATAGGTCACATGTCAAATATATCAGAGTATAAACATCCCAGGTTAAACAAATGGTGTGTGCACTGCAATCTTCCCGAGCTCCTCCTTTGAAAATTGAGTACCTGAAACCAAAACTGAAAGCCGTAAGCACGAAGCTTAGTGAGTCTCCCCAATCTACCACATACCATCCATATATAACATGCACTAAGCTTCGTGCTTACGGCTTTCAGTTTTGGTTTCAGGTACTCAATTTTCAAAGGAGGAGCTCGGGAAGATTGCAGTGCACACACCATTTGTTTAACCTGGGATGTTTATACTCTGATATATTTGACATGTGACCTATGACTTTATATGATGAAGATATTTATGGTTTTATTAATGGTTTTAAAAACGAAATTTTTGGACTGCATTTTTGGGATGTTACAGTTATCGTGTATTGTAAATTATAAAAGTGAATAATATTACGAAATATTATGTGAATTTGAATGTTGAGTTCTAACATATGGTTTTTACTAGGAATGAAGTAAAACTATGCTTAGAATCATTCAGAAAGTATTGGAAGTCTTATGAGATTCCAATCAAATGTCAAATGGTGAAATTTAACGAAAATATAAAATTTGAGATAAGTAAAATTTTATTATTGAAAGTTGTAGATAATCTCGTTAGAAACATTTAGGCGAAAACCTCATCGAAATCCAAGTTATAACGAAGAAGTTATGACCAATTGAAGATCCGCGACAAAACCGGCACAACGCCGAATGACGTAAAAAGTGAGTTTTTGATAAACTACTTTTTAGCCTTAGTAATCTAAATGAAAGTCGTAGT